AAAACAAAGGAAAAATCCTATTTTATTTTATTTTTAGTTTTTTAATTTTTGGCAGTTAGTGCTGTCTGGTATTAAGTACATATATCTATTTGCAGGCAGTCACGTCAAGTGAATTCAAACTAAAGAGCAGTATTTTATCGTCCCCCTTCGACTTCCTGTTTTCTTACATAGCATTTGGTACTTCTCTGTGGAGAGAGACCCAGATTTGACTTAAACACGTCCGTCTCTAGGCGTCCATATACACAGAAGGCATAGGCTTTTGCCACTCCTCTTGGTACTTTATTCGAATGCTTAGTTCGTAGGGTTAGGGAAAAAAAAATCCCTTTTACATGCAATAGGCTTCTCCTTCTGGTCACTGGTTCCTGAGCATTTTCCCGATAGCCATTTCACAACCAGCGCTTCCCTCCTGTGAAGCTATAACGTCTGATTAAATTACCTCATGCTCTTCTTTTGACTAAACTAAACAACTGCAAGGTTCTACCCCTAAGTGTTTTGCACTAGCTCCAAAATAATATTCACACCTCTTTTCTTCACTCTGCCTGCTTTTTAGTATTTATTTTCTCCAAATTTGGGCAAGAGACCTTTACACACGAGATAGTCCCCCATTCTTCCAATGTTGTTGGCATTCTCCGTTGATATCTCATTTTGCATAGAACTACATTTAAATATTTTTTTAAAAATTAGTATCATAATCATTATTTCTCCTTTACCTTATTTTTTATCATGAACTCTAGATTTATTTCAGCTCACTGATAGGACTGCACTTGGTATCAAACTTTGAGCAAAACCACCAGAACAGTACCAGTCAGTCAGCACTGTAGCATATTGACCGCGGATGCTAGTGGCCACTCAGAACATGTTAGAAACTAACTATAAGGAGGAACTCGTCTTTCTTCAGAGTGAGATCCTAAAAATTCACTTAGGACATTCAGCATATTGCCTAAAGGGTTTTTCTCTTTTGCTATTTCTATATTTGCATTTTTAAGGAACTGGTTCCAACTCTTACATGAATGTCTTTTATTGCAAGTTTTCAGCTTTCGTTTCTCCTGGAATTTTAGTATTTCCATTTTTTTTTAAAAGGAACTGGAACTACTTACTGGAGTAATGGCTTGCGTGATTTTCAGGGGTCTTAACTCTTGCCATAGACTGGCACACCCATAAGATACTGAAGTGGTCAAACAATTCATATGTTTAATTTAATTCAGATGATTTATTAATAAAAATATATTAACATTTCAATGGTACTCCTTAACATGTTATGTTTATTAACATATTGCTTTCATATCTGTTTCTTAATGTTAGATAGGACTGCTAGTAACATAACATTTTCTAGCATATTTTGAGCTTTTCATAAAGTGGTCCATGCAGTGTATCAAATATTGGTCCTATTTTGGGGAAGTCTTTAGTTTTTGTTCTTTCAGCAGTTTCATTTCTTGTCCTGAGTTTTGTCTTTCAATATACCATCAGTTATATACAGTTAAGATCCTTTCTCTTTAATAATAATAAAAAAATACAATAAAATAAATAAAAGGCAAGAACACAGGAGAAAAGCCCCATAAGGTCCAACATAACTTTATCTCTTGTGATGGTTTTCCTCGCTGTAGCTAGTCAAGCTACATTTAGGAAAGTCAAAGCTTTCTATGCTGTTTAATATTTTTAACTAACAGCATAAAGCATAGTTCTGAAAGAGATCTCTTGAATCATTGCATCCAAATCTCTTGTTGTTCCTAGTAAGCCACCTCATCATATATCATTGCTTAATAAAAGCAATATAATTTACCTATGGAAGTGAAGCAATAGTGCAACCCAAAGGAAAAGTGCATCCTAAAAATAAATAGTAATAGTAGTAATTAAAGAAGTAAAGAGCCGTGCTGGAAGCTCTGCGGTTGCAGTGGCACGACGCAGTCCCTCAGATTTCGCGGCTCAGGGCTGCCCTGTCCGTGCGATGGCCGGCCCGGCCCTGACGGCGCCCGCTGTGCCGGCTCCGCGGCGCTGCTCGTCCCGCGGCG